GATACTGCCCGTAGACTTAGTCTAGTCAAGTCTCCTCTCCGTTGAAGACAGAAAGTTGACAAGTATAGTAACGACTAATAGTTAACTCCTTAATATCTACTGTAAAAATGTACAAATAAGCCACAAGGAGAAAATTGGAATGGGGGTGTGGCCTTCACCTGTCTTATCGCTAACTTAGCTAGTCTCGCTCACTGAATAATCGCCCGTAAATTATTCCTTTCACCAAAATATCTTATCCACACAACACTGTCGTACACATAGACCACAATATTAAATTCAATCTAAGAAATCCTACCTGATCCTGATATGTACAATTTTTTTATGGAGGGCTGGGTTGATAAAAATCTAAAAATCTATATCCTCCATGTTCATGATGTAAAAAACTATCTACCCATCTAAACAAATCTAGTGTTAATAGCAGGCACCCTACAGTCTAATTATGGCAGAGATAACATTTAACTGGACAAACAAATACAGCGGGATAAATATTTTCTTTCACCCGTTTTACAAACATTTACACTAGCACTCACACGTCTAGACACAATAACAATTACGAAATATCACACTCAAAAACGAAAGACAGTTTAACCAGAGAACTGCAATCCCTGTCACCTAAATGGGGAGGGCAAGGGGAATAAACAAAAAAAAAAGAAAAAAATGGGGAGCAATAAATAAAGGGTCCGATGACCATCTATGCCTTAGCTAACTTCAATTCAGCAACTTAAGCAAAAAGAAAAACTACTTACACTAACCTAACACTAAATGGCAAATGTTTAAACCAGGCAACCAATATCCTTATTCGTATGTCTCCCCCATCTAAGTTAGCCCCTCTCAAGCGAACCAAACGCCAAGCACTCTTTCGCTGAATTTTAAAGAAGAGAGTCGCCTCATTTCCATTTTGATGTTGTTTAAAAACAAAATTAGTTGAGAAGAGGAAAACTTCTCACCTGCATAAAGCTACTACTATCGTGTTGTTCAAATCACAACTCGCATAATGCTAAGTAAACAGAACACATTTACATTATTCGGACTATTGTCCTCAACTTTGCCGCCATATTTATTACAACGTTTCGGCCTTTGTATGCTCCAGCCTTCTTCAGGTGGTTAGAATGTCGAACAGAACCCTTTATTTCACTCACTGGGGTAAACTGTTCTAGTTCCACGTGCCATGTTTAATGGATGTCAGTTATCAGTTATCTCCTGTTAATTTCCCTCTCCAGGTTCTCCACTGCCTTAAGCGGGTATTGAACTCACACTCTTTGGGTCCTGTCACTGGATCTAACTAACGCCTTTATCCATTGTGCCATGTGTCCTCAATAAATGACGTCCACAAACATGACACGTGGAACTAGAACAGTCTACCCCAATGAGCGAAATAAAGGGTTCAGTTTGACATTCCAACAACCTGAAAAGGCCGGAGCGTACAACGGCCGAAACAGTCCGAATAATGTAAATAGTATACATACCTCATCTCAGAAATATAGACAGATACTGAAAGGCCGGAACGTTGTAATAAATATGGCAACAAAGATGAAGACAATAGTCCGAATAATGTAAATAGTGTACATAATACCTCATCTCAGAAATATAGACAGATACTGAAAAGCCGAAACGTTGTAATAAATGTGGCAACAAAGATGAGGACAATAGTCCGAATAATGTAAATAGTGTACATAATACCTCATCTCAAAAATAAAGACAGATACAGAAGAAATATTGTTCATTCCTCTTCAGCTGTGGCAAAACCTTGCTACAAAGGGAATTAGCCTGGCCGACAACCAACTTTCCACCCAGGATGCTAACCCTGTAACCTTCAATCAGTTCGCTCAATGGTTGTACGACGCTACAGTGGAAGAAGATGTGCGCCAAGGACTCAACCGCCCCACCGCAACGCACGAACTTTGACGTAAATGCCAGCCCCGCTGCACAAGCCTTTTTGCGCGCCCAAAAGGGATTCCGCTACACCACCCAGGTGAGCGAAACCTTGTCGTTATTGAGATGACGCCATCCAGACGCCCAAGACCAGAGAGAGCTAAATTCCTCCTTGTCAAACCGAGCTCATCCATTAGAACATCTCGAGCAGCCTCAGCACTAAAACGCGATATAATGCCTTAGGTTACAAAAGTCAGGTATCGGACAAGACGTCCATAAACTGCATGAAGTCTTTCTGAACGTGACGACACTCGCAATAGGAGCACTCGGCTCCAGTAGTACGGCGGGCCTCCTCCTCGCCACCATGCGCACTTCTTAAAACTGGAATGTTTTCTTAGCGTCTTCCTTCCAGAAGAGGCCGTTACCGCCATCTCTCTGACACATTTGATCCAAAAACTTGAGCCTCAACGTCTGTTGACGAATCTCAGCGACAGACATTGTTAGGCGGGTGGAGGCAAATGACCAGCTGACGCACCAATGTTACCGCACAAGAGGTGAAAGAAGGCTCGATCACCAAGTACCGAGAGCTATTAACGAAGAATGGTGTTGATGTGCAAGACACAAACTTCCGCCTTTCTTTTAAAACTGCAACCATGATTTTTTTTCTCGGACCGCCAATCAATTTTTCTCCAACTGGTGGTCTGTGCCAAACCAAATGTCGAGTATCTTGAGAGGCCGGTTGGTTCAAGTGAATTGACTCCTTTCCACGCAAACAACTGCAACCCACAAAAAACTGTCGTGGTTGATCTTGGCTCCTATTACCTCCTCCTACCTGCTGATATCCTTGCCAACTTCGTCCATCTCGGCGTTAATTTTCACGAAAACGGTTACATCATCGGCATAGGCGCGATACCTGGTTAGCACCGGGGAAAAGAAAAAGCTCCAACGCAAGAATTTACATCATCGGGGAAAGTGGGCAACATTGACGATTGGATCGGGCCAACATAAAAGGCTTTAACCTTGCACCGTTCACTTTCACGATCGCGCCGAAAGTATCGCTCGAAGCCGGTCGACTTGAGGGCAGCCCCTAGAAATCGATGGTCAGCCCTATCAAATGCCTTGGACTGATCTAAATTGATCAGCGTTCCCTCACTGTCGACTTGTTCTATGAACAAGCTTTCCAGATAAAGGTTGTCCTAAATGATCCGACACTTCCCATGCCACTTCTCCCCCTTTAATATTTCCTTTTACTATAATCTTTTACTTTTTGTTTTTGTTGTTCGTCATCGTCATCATCATCATCAGCAGCAGCAGCATTTTTACCTTCACTCTTCTTCTTCATTATACGTCTTCTTCATTTTTCTTCTTCATTCTACTTCTTCATTTTTCCTTCATTTTTCTTCATTATTCTTCTTTCTTATACTTCTTCATTTTTCTTCTTCATTCTACTTCTTCTTCATTTTTTCTTCATTCTTCTTCATTTTTATTCTTCATTTTTTCTTTCATTCTTCTTCTTCTTTTTTTTTCATTCATTCTTCATTCTTTCTTTCTTATACTTCTTCATTTTTTCTTCTTCATTCTTCTTCTTCATTTTTTTTCTTCATTCTTCTTCATTATTCTTCTTTCTTATTTTCTTCTTCTTCTTCTTTTCTTCTTCATTTTTCTTCATTCTTCTTCATTATTCTTCTTCTTAGACTTCTTCATTTTTCTTCTCTTCATCTTCTTTTCATTTTTTTCTTCATTCTTCTTCATTATTCTTCTTTCTTAGACTTCATCATTTTCTTCTTCTTTCTTCATTTTTTTTCATTCTTCTTCATTCTTCTTTCTTAGACATTTTTCTTCTTTTTCTTCTTCATTTTCTTCATTTTTTTCTTCTTCATTATTCTTCTTTCTTATTTCATTCTACTTCTTCTTCATTTTTCTTCATTCTTCTTCTTCTTCTTTTTTCATAGACTTCTTCATTTTCTTCTTCATTCTTTTCTTCTTCATTTTTTTCATTCTTTTTCTTCTTCTTTCTTATTTCTTCATTTTTCTTCATTTTTTTTTTTCTTTATCTTCATTTTTTTCTTCATTTTTCTTCTTTTTCTTACACTTCATTTTTTCTTCTTCATTCTACTTCTTCTTCTTATTTTCTTCATTTTTCTTTTTCATTCTTTCTTCTTCATTTTTCTTCATTCTTCTTCATTATTCTTCTTTCTTATACTTCTTCATTTTCTTCATTTTTCTTTTTTTCTTTTTCTTCATTTTTCTTCATTTCTTCTTTATTCTTCTTCTTCATTTTTCTTTTTCTTTCATTTTCTTTTTTCATTCTTCTTCTTCATTTTTCTTCATTCTTCTTCATTATTCTTCTTTTCTTCATCATTTTTCTTTATTTTTTCTTCTTCATTTTTTTTCTTCTTCTTCTTCATTATTCTTCTTTTATTTTCTTCATTTTTTCATTCATTCTTCTTCATTTTTCTTCTTTTCTTCATTATTCTTCTTTTTATACTTTCATTTTTTTTCATTTTTTTTTCATTCCACTTCTTCTTCATTTTTTCTTCATTCTTCTTCATTATTCTTCTTTCTTACACTTCATCATTTTTCTTCTTCATTCTTCTTCTTCATTTTTCTTCATTTTCATTTATTTTCTTTCATATCTTCTTCATTTTTCTTCTTTTTCTATTCTTTTCATTTTTTTTTTTCTTCTTCATTCTTCTTTCTTTTTTCATTTTTTCTTCATTTTTTTTTCATTCTTCTTCTTCATTTTTTTTCATTTTCTTCATTTTCTTCTTTCTTACACTTCTTTTTCTTTTTTTTTTCTTCATTCTTTCTTCTTTCATTTTTTCTTCATTTCTTCTTCATTTTCTTCTTTCTTATACTTTTTTTTTTCTTTTTTTTCTTTTTCTTTTTTTTTTCATTCTTCTTCATTTTCTTCTTTCTTACATTCATTTTTTTTTTATTTTTTCTTCATTTTACTTCTTCATTTTTTTCTTCTTTTCATTTTTTCTTCTTTTTTTTTTTTTTTTTTCATTTTTCTTTTTTTTCTTCTTTTCTTTTTTTTTCTTCTTTTTCTTCATTTTTCTTCTTTATTTTCTTTTTTTCTTCATTTTTTTCATTTTTTTTTTTCATTCTTCTTCTTATTCTTCTTTTTCTTCATTTTTTCTTCTTCATTCTTCTTCTTTTTTTTCTTCATTCTTCTTCATTATTCTTCTTTCTTATACTTCTTCATTTTTCTTCTTCATTTTCTTCTTTTTTTTCTTCATTCTTCTTCATTTTTTTAGACTTCTTCTTCTTCTTTTTTCTTCATCTTCTTCTTCATTTTTTCTTCATTTTTCTTTTTTTTTCTTCATTTTTCTTCATTTTTCTTTTATTTTTTCTTTCATTTTTTTTTTTTTTTTTTTTTCATTTTTTTCTTCATTTTTCTTCATTTTCTTCATTATTCTTCTTTTTTTTTTTTTTCATTTTTTTTTTCATTCTTTTTTTCTTCATTTTTTCTTTCTTTCATTCTTCTTCATTCTTCATTTTTTCTTTCTTCATTCTTTTTCTTCTTCATTTTTCTTCTTTTTCATTTTCTTTCTTTCTTTTTTCTTCATTTTCTTCATTTTTTTTTTCATTCTTCTTCATTTTTTTTCTTTCTTCATTATTCTTCTTTCTTTTCATTTTTTTCTTCTTCATTTCTACTTCTTCTTCATTTTTTTTCTTCTTCTTCATTTTCTTTTCTTATCTTCATTTTTTTCTTCATTCTTCTTCTTCATTTTTTCTTCATTCTTCTTCATTATTTTCTTTCTTATACTTCTTCATTTTTTTCTTCTTCATTCTACTTCTTCTTCATTTTTCTTTTTCTTCTTCATTATTCTTCTTTTCTTAGACTTCTTCATTTTTCTTTTCATTTTCATTTTTTTCATTCTTCTTTCAATATTCTTTTTCTTCTTCATCATTTTTCTTTTTTTCTTCTTCTTCTTTCTTTTTTTTTTTCTTCTTCATTTTCTTTTCATTTCTTCATTTTTTCTTCATTTTTCATTTTTTCTTCATTTTCTTCATTCTTCTTCATTATTCTTCTTTCTTCTTCATCATTTTTTTTCTTCATTCTTTTTTCTTCATTCTTCTTCATTCTTCATTTTTTCTTCATTTTTTTTCTTCATTCTATTCTTCTTTTTTTTCTTCATTCTTTTTCATTTTCTTATACTTCTTCATTTTTCTTCATTTTCTTTTCATTTTTTTCTTCTTTTTTTTCTTCATTCTTCTTCATTATTCTTCTTTCTTACACTTCATCATTTTTTCTTCTTCATTCTTTTTCTTTCTTCATTTTTTTCTTCATTCTTCTTCATTCATTTCTTTTCTTTTCATTTTTCTTCTTCATTCTACTTCTTCATTTTTTTCATTCTTTTCATTATTCTTCTTTTCTTATACTTCTTCATTTTTCTTCATTTTTCTTTTCATTCCACTTTTCTTCATTTTTCTTCATTCTTCTTCATTATTCTTCTTTTCTACCCTTCATCTTCTTCATTCATTTCTTCTTCTTTTTCTTTTTTTCTTCTTCATTCTTATACTTCTTCATTTTTTTTTTCTTCTACTTCTTTTTCATTTTTCTTATTCTTCTTTCTTATTTCTTCATTTTTCTTCTTTCTTCATTATTCTTCTTTTTTTCATTTTCTTCATTATTCTTCTTTCTTTTTCATCATTTTTCTTTATTTTCTTTCATTCTACTTCTTCTTCATTTTTCTTCATTCTTCTTCATTATTCTTCTTCATTATTTCTTCATTTTCTTTTTTTCATTCTTCATTTTTCTTCATTCTTCTTATTATTCTTCTTTATTATACTTCTTCATTTTTATCATTCTTCTTCTTCATTCTTTTCTTCTTTCATTTTCTTCTTTATTATTATTCTTTCGATTCTTCTTCATTCTACTTCTTCTTCATTTTTTCTTCATTCTTCTTCATTATTCTTCTTTCATATACTTCTTCATTTTTCTTCTTCATTCTACTTCTTCTTCATTTTTTCTTCATTCTTCTTCATTATTCTTCTTTCTTATTTCTTCATTTTCTTCTTTTTTTCATTCTACTTCTTTTCCCTTTCATTCTTCTTTCATTATTCTTCTTTCTTACAAGATTCATCATTTTTTTCTTTATTTTTCTTCTTCATTCTACTTCTTCTTCATTTTTTCTTCATTCTTCTTCATTATTCTTCTTTCTTATACTTCTTCATTTTTCTTCTTCATTCTACTTCTTCTTCATTTTTTCTTCATTCTTCTTCATTATTCTTCTTTCTTATACTTCTTCATTTTTCTTCATTTTTCTTTTTCATTCTACTTCTTCTTCATTTTTTCTTCATTCTTCTTCATTATTCTTCTTTCTTACACTTCATCATTTTTCTTCATTTTTCTTCTTCATTCTACTTCTTCTTCATTTTTTCTTCATTCTTCTTCATTATTCTTCTTTTCTTATTTCTTTCATTTTTTCTTCTTCATTCTTTTCATTTTTTTTCATTCTTCTTCATTATTCTTCTTTTATTTTTGTTCTTCATTCTATTCTTTTTTTCTTCATTCTTCTTCATTATTCTTCTTTCTTATACTTCTTCATTTTTTCTTTTTCTTTTCATTCTACTTCTTCATTTTTTTTCATTCTTCTTCATTATTCTTCTTCTTTTTGACTTCATCATTTTCTTCATTTTTCTTCTTCATTCTACTTTTCTTCCTTCTTCATTCTTCTTCATTATTCTTTTTCTTATACTTCTTCATTTTTCTTTTCATTCTACTTCTTCTTCATTTTCTTCTTATTCTTCATTATTCTTCTTTCTTATACTTCTTCATTTTTCTTCTTCATTCTACTTCTTCTTCATTTTTTCTTCATTCTTCTTCATTATTCTTCTTTCTTAGACTTCTTCATTTTTCTTCTTCATTCTACTTCTTCTTCATTTTTTCTTCATTCTTCTTCATTATTCTTCTTTCTTAGACTTCTTCATTTTTCTTCTTCATTCTACTTCTTCTTCATTTTTTCTTCATTATTCTTCATTATTCTTCTTTCTTAGACTTCTTCATTTTTCTTCATTCTTCTTCATTATTCTTTTTCATTATTATTTTCTTCATTCTTCTTCTTTATTTCTCTTCTTTTTCCTCATTCTTATTCTTCATTCTACCTTTACATTCTTCTTCATTATTCTTCATTCTTTTTCTTCTTTTTCATTATAATTCTTTTTCTTCATTCTTCTTCTTCTTCTTCTTCTTTCTTTTTCCCCTTTATTTTTGTTCTTCGTTATTTTTCTTCATTCTTCTTATCCATTCTGCTTCTTCCCATTCCATTTGTCCCTTTTTAATAGTTTCTGCTACGATTATTTTTACTTCTCTTCTTCTTCTTCTTCTTCTTCTTCTTCAGTATTCGTATTGTTCACCAGCATGATATTCATCTTCTGCTTTTTCTTCTTCTTCTTCTTCTTCTTCTTCTTCTTCTTCTTCTTCATTATTCTTCTTATTCATAATCATCATCATCTTCTTCTTCCCACTGCACTTCGTTTAACCTTCTAATATTTTTCTTCTTCTCGAATAATATTTCTTCTTCTTCTTCTTCTTCTTCTTCTTCTTCTTCTTCTTCTTCCTCCTCCTTCTCCTCCACCTCCTCATCATCATCTTCTTCTTTTTGTTATTATTACTATTATTACTTTTATCATACCCAACAAAAGAAAGCGTATATGTATTGTTTCCGTTATAGACAACTGTTCCAATTTTGATTCTTCCAATAGAAGCATGTGTTCAAACGAAAATCTGCCGTCGAGTGACAAGCTCAAAGCCATTTCTTCATTGTCTCAAGACTAAACGAAAAATTACGACCACGTGTTCATTCACATACACAAACATCAATATCATTCGCTCAGACATGACATGTGCTTTTGTTCTTCTTTAGAAAATAATTTCTTAGGTATATGTGCATAAAACTAGTAATAAGAAAAATATCAGTGTGACTTTACCTAAATCTAAAATAACACATAAATATTATCCTAAGATCTTTAACATTTTTTTAAATTTTCTTTCGCGGAATGTGTAGATACTTGAGAATGATTAACAGTATAGCCGAAAGCGCTTGGAATTACAAAATATTTGGACAGATACTACAGATATGTCCAGAAAAAAACACCTGTTCGAACATAAGAAATGAAATATAAAACTTCATCGCAGTGACTTGATGTAGTCATTAATGAAAAGGGAATTATGCTTAAATACACAATATATATATATATATATATATATATATATATATATATATATATATATATATATATATATATATATATATATATATATATATATATATATATATATATATATATATATATATATATATATATATATATATATATATTCTTATATTAACGACATTAAAGGAAGAAGTTACAACAACCCCAATAAATTACACGACAGGTTTCATTCAAATTCTTAGACGCTGTCAGTTCGCGTTACTTTAACGTGCATATTTGGGAGGTTAAGGTTTGATACATATCTAAATGTTTAAACAATCTACGAAGAAATTAATTTGAAATTCGGTGGAGTTTTGGGTATTTTCAATGAAACAGTCGATTGGAAAAATCCGATCTTTCATATTTATGGCAAAACATATAAGTAGCTATCTAATTGTACATCTCCACACTCACAAAAAAACAAAAACAAAAAAAAAACCTGGTATGCTTCTTTTTCCGTATAAAAACATGTACATGTACATATCGACAGGTGTCTCAGTGTGCAAATACATTATCATATTATCATAGTTGTATACATATAGTCATGTGTTAGCGTTCACGTGTGCATAGTAATATTTCTAAAAACAAAGGGAATATAAAACATTCAAAATTGCTGTTTAAGATTAAGATTATCGCACAAACTTTCATAACTGAATCAATAAGCCTTCCTATCCTCATACGTTGAAACAGACGGGAGAGTCCATTATTATATATATATATATATATATATATATATATATAAACCGCATAAATATATTAAATATAAAAAAAAATAATATTGGAAGCGTTAATAATAAAGAAGTCAACTCTAAATAATATCAATTGTGAACACGGCCAAGCCGTGCTGACCGTGTTCGGAAATTATAAAAAACCCAGTTAAAACAAAAAACAAAAACAACCTTGATAATATCTGAGAGATTAGTCGAAAGCACTTGGATTTTTTACTGACTCTATGTCCAGAAAAGAAATTAATTTACCGAATGAATTTCAAGAATGAATTAATAAAACGCTTAATCACGGTACGTAGTTCATTGTCATTAAATTTACGTGTTTTTGATTTCAATTTTAAAACACGTAAATTTCAGATATACGTTATTCCAAAAAAAAATTTCGCTTGAAGATGGAACAGCTTATTTTAACTCAATTTAATTTAAATAATTATATTGAAGTTTTCGGCTCTTGTTTTGAAACATGAGACTTCTTATGCGTTTTGGAATCATATTTTTTAAATAAATAATTATTTATATATATATATATATATATATATATATATATATATATATATATATATATATATATATAATTGTCTATTTTGCTAGCAATCACACTTTTATGCAACTTTCATTATATAGGAGTAACACAAGGTTAATTTTTTTATGACTGAGCGATTTCGGCTATTCTTTTAGCCATTATCCTGGATGATTTTATTTTTACTTTTAACTAAATGCATCGATTGTTTACATTAGTTTCCATACAATTATCGTAGTTGTTAGTGCTGTTATGCCACAGAGATATAGCAAGATACCACATTCTATATTGAATAGTACTTGGTTGAAACTCTCATCGTCACCATTACTGTGTAAATAACCCTTAAGTTTATGTTATTGATCTTGGGAATAGGACAATTAATTGTCCAATAAATTTACTGATCACTTGAACAAATAGGTATTCGAAATCAAAATCAGTTACAGTCGATACATTGCAGACCAGTGTCAATTCCAGAGAGATTTTGCCTCCAGTTGGTTCGTTAACAGCCTGGGTAAGAATGTTGTTTAGTACAGTATCTATAGACAATTTATCACTTTTTTGGTGTAGGGGATAATTAATATCACAAGACTTATCTGAAACTGAAGTGATGAACGAAAAGCGTGTTATCGCACAGGAGACTGTTTTCTCAATAAAAGTACAAATTTAGATTAATATAATTTCTTCAGTAACATAAGACCTATAACAACAAATCCATTATCCAGCAGACGTGAGATTGATTTTTAACCAAATGTTTGTAGCACCGCCATCATCTTTAGTTTCACTATCAGGACTTTCGGTAATTTTGGCAAGGACCAATACGCCATCCCTTGAAGAATTGATATTAGGTTGTTACATATATTTGTTAGTTTTTCTGATTTTCTACGAGTCATCTTAATCTCTCTCTCTCTTTCTCTCTCCTCTCTCTCTCTCTCTCTCTCTCTCTATATATATATATATATATATATATATATATATATATATATATCTGCAGGAGGCAAAGTGGAGTAGTGGATAGCGGCTCAAGTTTTTGGAATCGAATTCAAGACGAATCCTTTACATTCAATTACGTGCCAATACCTCTGGGAAAAGGTACTAATCCTCTTCTTCTATGGGTAAACAGCAGAACAGACTGGGTTTTATATCCTTGGATGGCAACTGCGGAGGGTCGTTTAGAAATCTCGTGGCACACGGTGCACCAGCTCTCTGTGGCTGGTTCTGCACAAAGCCTTCACTACTTTAATCAAATCATATCTGCAGGTGTCTAGGCTGTCGGTTCCTAGGAACTAAGCTGCTTAACCCTCATACGTCGAACACTACGGGAGAGTCCCCATACACACACACACACACACACGCGCGCACCCACACACACATATATATATATATATATATATATATATATATATATATATATATATATATATAGGATGTCTGTCCGTAAAGTTCGTGTGCACTTTACAAAATTTATAACTTTATTTGTATTTGCGATAGAAATAATCTGTAAAAAACGGTATAAAGTTTAATGTACCTAGTTTTAAGTACAGTTATTGAATAATTCTTTACCACAAAATTTGCAACAATTTTTAGATAAGTAAAAAAATATTTTCTTTTTGCAGAATCAATTTGATCCATGGCTTCAACTGCGGAAAAAGTAAACTGTGTTCTTTGGTTGACTGAACTGAAATCTACTATTGCTGTACAAAGAAAGTTTAGAATTGAATACAATAAAGAACCACCTCATAGGAACACTATTGCTAAATGGATGAAAACATTTAAAGAGACAGGCTCCGTCCATGATAAGACACGGTCTGGAAGGCCATGTATCAGCGATGAAAGTGTTGCATCCATAGAAAAATCCTTTACAGCAAGTCCAAGAAAGTCTGTAAGACGTTCATCATTAGAGCTCAGGCTTCCAATATCTAGTGTGCATAAGATTTTGCGGGCAAAACTTCACATAAAAGCTTATAAAATTCAATTACATCAACAGTTGTTAGAAGAGGATTATTATGCACGGCTAACTTTCTGTCATCAGTTCAATGTAAAATTTGGCAATGATGAGGCATTTGTGAGTAGTTTACTGTTCTCTGATGAAGCAATATTTCACATTAGTGGCAAGGTCAACAGGCATAATTGCTGAATTTGGGGTACGGAAAACCCAAATGAAATTGTTGAACATG